AAGTTGGACAGTGATTGGAATTAAAAAGAAAAAAAAAAAAACTCGATTTTGACTGGTGGGATATGTTAAGTATAATATGTGGCGCCATTTGTGTGTTAACGTGTAGGTTTTTACCCTATATTTTAACTTTTAAAAAATGCACTAAATCTCCTTATATTTAACTAATTGGTGTAATTTTTACAGAATTATTAATTTTTATCATTATACCTGCTGAATTTTATGGCAAAACGAAGACTTGAAACCGAATCTCAAGGTATAATTTGAAATAAATTTATCAAATAGAAAGTATAATTTATCAAATAATTGTAACATGATTTACTCTTACATACATTATGAATGAAAAAAATTGAAATAAATTATAATTTTTTAGTGAATGATTTTTAATTCAAATAAATTTTTATTTCTAAATTTAATTTAGAAATTTATTTTAATTTTATTTCATTTTCTTAAGTTAAACAAAATAAATAAATTTTGTTAACTAAGATAAAATAAGATGAACAATGAAATAAAATAATATGAAAATAATATAAATTAATATAAATAATAAAAAATAATATACAATAACTACAATAAATATTATTATTTTAACTTTAATTTTTCTAAACTTATTTATAATTTATTTTAGTTATTTTTTTTTGTTTAATATAATAAGTTATTTTAATTATTTTTGTTTCTTTTATTTTATATAATTTAGTTTATTATATTTTAATTTATCATAACTTTATATTTTAATAATTAATTTAATATAATCTATATTATCTTTTAAATTAAATTTAATTTATCTATTTGTAACGAAAATATATTAAACTTTACTACATCTAACACACATCCTTGAGTAGTTGGTGGTTGCTTGCTTGTCATGCTCACATGGGAGCCCAGATCCGAACCCCAGAGGCAATTTTTTTTATTAAATTTCTCGCGATATATCCAATATATCGTGAAAAATTCGGTTTATCGTAAATATATATATATATATATATATAATTCAGAAGATATAACGGGGTTATTGTAAAATAAAATTAACGTTGTTAACGGGGGGAATTGAAAAAAAGAAAGTGTGTGCACCAAAATACAGGGTAACAATGCACACATTTCGTATAACACGGAGGGTTTGGTGCAATTTACCCCCAATATCTTTTTACAACATTTGTACTCAAAACAACTCTAATTACTTCAGCTTAATTCTCTTCGATATTATCAATATAAATAATAAATATCAGTTGAATATTATCACATATTTATCAACTTTAATTTACTATTAATCAATTAACATAATTTTATTTACACATAACTTCCAATCACATTTTTCCTATATTTACATTACACCACTTTAATCATTATTTTAATATTATATTAAACACAAAATAAATTCAAATCGTCCATCTAATCAACTTCCTTCAAAATTATCTCATTCTATTCAAAAAAAAAAA